AAGCTGTGGCATTTTTAATTAAGTTGTCACAGCCTGTGGTTTTAATTAAAATCAATGATTTATAAGAGTCTTATTGTGATTGCAGTTTTTTTATTGTGTTGTTTAGTATTGATTCAATTAAATTCTGTAATCAATTGTAACTGAGGTAATTAGCACGTGTGATATTTTTATGGAATTTGCAACTCATTTGTTATAATGTTTCACACAATGTTGATCATAATATTATATTGAAAGTCTCAAATGCGTTTTACTTATAATAACTATTCTAAAATGTTTAAAAATCACATCAATCATTAATCATCACATTAATTATGCCACTAGCAATATTTCAAAATAAAAATAAATCAAATAATAAATTCGTGTAATATGAAATTACTTTGCATACGAATTACTTACCTGTTATGTGTAGTATGCAACTGCGATAATTAATGAATGACTACACATATGCAGGATGATTAATACTGCATAAGGTGTATTAAAAATGTTTTTGCACAAAGTTGCGTATGTAATTTAAATAATAATAATTGAGTTTTATGACAACAGAAGAAGGATGCTCTACAATGCATATAGTGTATTAAAATTGATGTTTTTTTCATAAGGTACGTATATACAAATAAATAGTGTCTTTTGAACTGCGTCAGTCGCGATGTCACGAACCAGATCACGCGTTTTCTGTTTTTGTTATCAATTAACACTATATCTTATACCGTACTAAACTATATACTTTACGATAAATGAGCGACGATTATATCAAAGAAGCCAATTTTACACAATAATTTTCATAATTTCAATAGTCGTCAACATGATACTAAAAAATGTTTTTTGTAGTAGTCATAGTTCGTCAATGTGCAAAAACATGTGGTGCACGAGCAAATTCTTATACATTTTAATAAACATAAATGACGTCTATAAAGTGAAAATTCATGCTATTATGTATAAATATAAAAACACTAATTACTATATGTTACTTCCTTTTACATTTTTACTTCATTAATTGACTTCTGTAATAATTTCCAACTCGTATAAAGTTACATTGCGTATAAAACTTTATTGAATCATTATTTTCTTTTACAAGTTGGAAAATACTCTTTGAAAAATATTCAATTTACTAGTTATTTGTCTAATTGGCTATTAAAATATTTCGAAATAAATATATAAAAGATTTCTCGGACTGGAATGTAAATTGGAATAACTATTGAAAAGTTCGATATATCTTTTTTTGCGTTTTAATTGATTTAGTTTGGTTACTCAAAATTGGGTTCAAAGTTCATTTACTGTCTGTCCATTTTGACATTGGGAAACATAACATTTTAAGGTATATTTTATAATGGAAAGAAGCAAAAAACAATTATAAACTATGGAAAAACATTTATTTTATTTTTATTTGTCTAATTGGCTATTAAAATATTTCACAATAAAAATATTAAAGGTTTCTCAGTCTGTTATGTAGATTGAAATATCTATTGAAAAGTTCGATATATCTTTTTTGCGTTTAATCGAATAAGTAAACTCGCAAATTAGTTTGGTTACTCAAAATTGGGTTCAAAGTTTATATTTTGACATTTGTAAATATCACAATTTTGCTGTTTATTCTATAAGGTAGAAGATAATTGTGAAGTATGAAAAATATTTATATCATTCTTATTTACACGTTATTATTGGAAAAAGATTTAATTTTATAACATTATACAAAATATACAAAAGTATATCATACTACATTATTTTGAAAAATAACTTTTTATTTTCAAACATTCCCGTTAACTGCGATACTTTAATAAAATCAAATAATAAACGTTTTGAATTGAAATTTGGATCGAGATTGAGATTTTTTGTACATAATTGTGTAGAAAAGACTGGGTATGGTTGTGGTACTTTCTTATCAGCAATAATTCTGAAAAAATAGTGAATTAAATTGTAATTTGAATATTTGTCTACAAGCAAATACTGAAATACTGTCTTTAAACACGAAGGATTAGCTCTTTAAAAGCTATTTGGTCCACAGATCATTTTAATGTAGGAATGTAGGGCGCTGACTAAATGCAATAATGGAAACTTGTTCGAACAAACATACTTTTTCTTTCTTCTTTTGGATCCTATCTTAAAATCAGTATAGTTTAGCTGTTATGATCACTGTCACTACCGTAACCTTGTCACAACCATACCCAGTCTCCCCTACAATATGTAGTTATATTTTAATTTACTGGACTCCGATTATTTTTTGTTAATAAGCCATGTGTAAACTTTTTTCATAATTACGTAACGTTAGAAAAAAATACATTGTCTACTTTTAGTTTCACAATTCTTTTCAAACCATTTCTAGATTTTTCCCATAGATATTGCTCTTCTTAATACCACTCTCCTCAAAACGAAATATAATAACACTTGTGTCGAATCCATTATGTCGTGGTATAAAAATGCGGACATATTATTGTTCCTCACATATTTTTTCTTGATGTGATCTTTCCATAAGTATCATAACTTATGTGCTAGACTTATGAAAATTGCTTTCGACAGCATATTGAGTAGGTAGGCGAAGAAAATCTTCCACATAAAATATGTGACTCGTATTAATTTAAAATTATGTACCAATTCATGTAACGTCATAAATAGAGAGACGTTACAAACTTGAGATATATTTGTCTATTACAAAAAATTATATAAAATATGTCAAACACAAATAGCTTAAGATAAATACTAAGACAAGTAGATAGACAAATTTGAAAATTTTAGGATTTTTTTAGAATTCCCAAAAATACAGAAAAACATATAGCCCAATTCTAAGAAATATAGTTCTTGACCCAATTTGAATAAAAGATCATTTACACACATATAGTTTTTTTTAAAGTTTAATGAATTTTTATCATTTTAAGGTTAAAGTTCGTTGTATTTGGACAATGACAACGTTAAAATAAATTCTCATGGATATAATTTAATTATTCGTATATAATTTCTTTATAACGTTAAATATTATAAAATAAATATTAAATTAATTGCAATGAAATTAATGCAATTATTTTCTTCAATATTTATTTTTTTAAATTCATTTCATTTCTAATTTATTTTCAACTAAGGTGCGATATAATAAAAGTTTTTGTTTTAATAATAGAAATAATAATAGAAAGTCATTTTTAAATAAAATTATTCATAATATAGAGCATATCATTATATGTATTTATTGACCATAGATAATTTTCCAATTTCCATCGTAATATAATTTTTCATGTATGCATTGATGATAATTGCTCGTACTCGTATATCTATTAAAATTATATTCGATCATTTCCGAACAATGAATTTTAAATGAGGTTTTATTTAGTTCATTTAATTTCGAATTATCTCATATATGGTAATATACATGCTGGATATTGGATAATCGACCCCTGAATCCATATATAATGATAAATTTACTTTTTCAAAAAAATACCTGAGTAATATATATTTTGTATCAAATTAAATATTCAATTCCAATTAAAAATTCAATTCCATTATTTGGTTGGATTTAAAAAATATAAATAGATGAAAAAATAGAAGCAGAAGAATGATTTATTAGAAAAATCTAATTTTTCCTTATCCTCTAATAAAAGTAGTAATATGTATCTCTATTCTCTAATCATTGTATGGTGTATGACAGTTTTAATACAGATGTGATAAAAGTTGATCGTAATTTGATATCTTGTTGTGTTTTATTGCGTGCGTTATATGTTATGAACCATAAAATCAGCAATTATTATAAAGAGAATTATACAGAACGGCATAAAAATATAATGAATTGTGAATTTATTTCGCATCATGTTACCTAGTAACTTCAATAGAATAGAAATTCTATTCTATTATATAACAAAAAGTCATGAAAGTCATACATCTCTATTTTATTACCCAGACTAATACAATACAATATTTCATACAAGTTATTTTTTCGGCGCGATGATGCCTTCCAGTTGGGCTTTGAGTTGTTGATTAGTTTTCTTGAGAAATTGGACTTCCTCTGCGTGTTTCTTATCTTCGGCAGCTCTAACTTCTTCTGCTCGCCTTTCCACTTGTTCAGCTTTATTCTTAAGCTCGGTCACCACCTAAAATTAAAAATATATAGGTGGATCACAAATCTAACTTGAAAACCATTATTATTTTGAAGGTCCTTATTTTGTGTGCCCAGCATCTCTTGAAGTATCCTACCTATTCATACGTAATAACTGATCTGTTTGTTCATATGAAGGGTTATTACTACTCTTTCAACACGTAGAGTATTACTATTCTACCATACAAATTTTTATCAAGTAGTACTATATAAGCGAGCAATTCCTTCTACTCCTTGAACCTAATTTTAAAGTGATGCTGTCTGTATCAACAGCGGCGACGTGCATAGCATTCTTGGCACAAAATACCCAAGTTTGTAAAATAATGGAACATATTTCAACAAGGAATTCAAGACGTCTGTAGTTGAATTTTGGGTAACTTTTCTTATCAACTCATGTTCCTTGTAAAATTTATAGGTTTACGAGAGCTATTGCATAAAAGGTCCGTTGCTTGAATATATTATGTCCAGTGGGGTTATTTATCGGCTTGTATAAATTTTGTGCTTGCATATATAAATATAAAGGCAAATAGTATTTTATTCTGCCTGAGGAAGGTATAGAGTGAATTTGTATCCAAGGAATTTCTTGTCATTATTTAGTCATTAAATCTATTGACAATATCAACTAAGTAGGTAACTGTTTTGACGAGTGTATGCTCTTATGTAATATATCAATAAAATAGCATTAAACAAAAAGGAAAAAACCTTTGATCCTTAAAGTTATTAGATCAATATTTTCTTAATTTTTTTTTAAAACTCACTTTCTCCAGTTCATCTCGTTCAGTCACAAGTTTTTCAACTTTTTCAATGAGATCTTCTCGACCCTGTTCAGCCTGCAGCGCCTTCCTCATTCCAAAGGCGACACTGCTGCAGTACAGAGTCTGATACGCCTCCATGGTCATATTCATTTCGTCTCTGACACGAAGCAGCAGCAATCCTCTTTCGCTACAGTTAATGGTCACCTAGAAATATTTTTGGGATTTTCGCATCAAGATTTATAAAGACATGTTTTGTTAACATTTTTTGAGACCTAATGTTTTGTTCACTACTTCAAACATAGATGACGAGAATATTTCGCATTTTTCTATGGAAATTTAATACTTTGATATTGAGATTATGTTCTATAACATTTACTTTTATACTACAGATTCAAGCTCAATAAAATGCAAATGTGGTGTATGAGAGCATAATTCAATATTGTATGCGCGCATATTAAAGCGATAAAAACACATATTGCTATAAGAATAAATTAAATTTAAATTTGTGCGGGGAAACAACATCATATTATATATTATATCAACTTATTCTCAATGCAATGTTAAGAAATTAGAACTGAAATCAAACTACTTAAATTTTTATGATTAAGATATTTTAAAAGAATTTAAGTGAGGAATTTGATAAATAAAATATTTGAATGTAGGATATCAATATGCAAAGTTTGTTTACTTATATGAAGAATTACAGTGCTATTTTTAGCATATTTAATATAATATTTGTCGCCTAAATCTTGTTTACTCCAAATATTGCATGCAAGCTCCAGATGGCCATATTAGTACAATATTTATAATTTAATGTGAAATGTTTTGAAAAACGATATCCAAGAAAAATTTATCCTTAAATATTTTCTATTTGATATAGCTCTAACAATCAAAACCTAATATTAGCTTTATTAACTTCCCGTAAGGTAAGTTATAGTAATCGCAAAAAAATCGAAAATGAAAATTTTTATATATCTTTACGTTTCAGAGGTTCTGAATATTTTGGCATACCTTAGAAAAAAATGGATGTATGTGTGTGTGTATGTGTGTGTATGTGTGTGCGTGTGTATGTGTATTCTGATACAAATTTTCGTCGACGATTTCGGGAATACGGATGAAACGATTTGGATAATTGAAAAAACATTCGATTTGTATTGATAAGGAGACATACTGTTTAGTTTTTGGCGAAGGCAGGTCTAGCCGTTCCGAAGATATGGGGCAAAAAGTGACAAAAACGGTAACTCAGTTTTTAAGAGAACGGAGCGTCGGATTTGAATAATTTAATAATCACTTGTATTAACAAGATGAAGAACTGATAAAATTTTTATGATGGCAGGTCTAGCGGTTTCGGAGATCTAGTAAAAAAGTAAATAAAAATGCCATCTGGCGGTCAAAAATGATCATTAGACATATGCACATCAAATTATCAGATATTTATAGAGATTTTAACAATAAGTATAAATTTTGTTTACATTCCTATGGGTTCCGTACCAATGCTTATCCGATAGACGGCGGCGCGGCGCTTACGGGCTTCGATATTTCGTCTCTATGCAGTTAAAGCAGTACGATTGCTTTGAAAAAAAGTTCAAACATTCCAAAATATTTCAAAATACACTTTTCTTCAAAAAGTCTTTTTTTGAAAAAAAGTAAATTTTTGTCAAAAATCATAGTTTCTCAAAAATCTAATTTTTTAGAGTAATTTTTTTTCAGAAATGTTATTCTTTTAAAAAAAAAATTTTTTTGGTACAGGAAGTTCTAGCAATTTGCCTTAAGGCACGATGCCATGCGCCCCACTAGTTTTTATTTTTAAGCTAAATGACGTATCCATTTTCACAACAGTTTGATATATATTCAAACCAGAATGAATATGTGCAATTTCAAATATATTCCTGACTTCAACATTCATTAAACCTCCTTATTTTTTAATACTGCGGCGTTTTTCTTGTATATCATATATAAATTACAATATTACCCTTACAATATACGACGTGCACACGTCAATTGAAAATTGAAAAAAAAATTATAGACGTCTTTGGCAATACAAGCAACGCTTCAATACACGTCACATGTTGTGTCAATATAAAATTATACATCTACGTAAATCTAATGGAAGAAAGAAGTAAAGGAGCGTAGAGCAAGTGATCAATCACCTGTCGAATAAGCTCGTCGAAGCATTGGGTATAGAGTTCTCGCCTTGCGGGACAGATGCCAGTCTCACGCGCCTGCCTCTGTTGCAATTTCATGTCGAGTTGCTCTTGGAGATTTACGACGTCCATACGAATCGCGGGCGTACTGGACACCTGCTGTCTGTGGACATCAAAATAATGAAAATCACATCAATACGGTTCGAGACGAAGCACTTACTATGTAGCCAAATCAGCGGTTTTTTTTAAAGGTTACATGAAACACACAAGAGATACGCATTTTATGGAGGTATATATATGTTTTTCACATTGTTTTGCGTAATAGCAATGTTTCCTACCTAATTAAAAATAATGTAAATATTTTGTTCATGTTACAAGTACTTCTTGACATTTATTTGTCAAATCAATTAGAGCAACGGTATATAAAATGAAATTCAATTTTACGTATTGGGCTCGCCCGTAGGTAAGCGACGGGACTTGTTTTAGAGGTCCCGGGTTCGATACCCACTTCGAGCAGGCTGTTGTCAGGCAGCAGTGACAACGATTTTTACTTGGAAATATAGATATCGATATGTTTCCAAGTGAAAATAGCCCTTGCCCGGCATTGCTGCACTAATAAAAAAGTCAACCCTATTAGATTAATTCTAATAACAAATATCATCAAATATGGATGGATTAACAATTGGGTTACCATCTAAAAAATACGAAGTGAGGAGAAGTTTCAGCCCAACAGCTCATAGGACGTAAGGTTCTGATTGCTGTTAAAAATATTTAAACATATAAATTTTACGTATTATGGTCTTATGGCATTTTGGGACTGTGCGAGCAAATACAATGTGTCCAGTCGAAAATATTAGGACAGATCACTGATGCTCCATGGCTCGTAAGCAATAAGATCTTACACGACGATCTTCATAATGAATTTATGAACAGAATTATAAAAATCAACAGTGTAAAACATTTTCATAAACTAGAACTAGATCATTCAAACTCTATAGTCACTCAGCTTCTTGAGACACCTGTTTCAAGAAGACTAAAAATAAGCTGCCCAATACGAACAGTATTGGTGATTCTACTCATTGGAGTGATCTCCAACTATGAATATAGATTTATCACAATAATTTATATGTGTATTTGAAAGTGTGTGTGAATAAATGATATATAACACAGGCCAACACATTAAATGGTGCAAACGATTTTAATGCTGTTTTTAAGTATATTTGCGGCGCTGATTTAAAAAATGACATTGTTTTTTTTCTATGAGCTTTAGTTTTCCATATATGATATATAAGGAATGAAAGTACAAAATAGTAATACAATTCAGTAATTTATTTTAATGAGATGTACCTACTCGTACATACAAACTTACAAGACCCATTCGGCCTCAGTTGGGACATTAGTTGACACTGTGAAAAATTCTTTTCCGTGACGACCTAGAATGGACCTGGTTTCGGCAAATTTTTTCAAAGTTCCAGACTAGAGCTGATACAAAAAAAATGGTTTGCAGATTTGAAATCAGCGCAAAAAATACTATAAAAATCAGCTCTAACATTTGATGCACCAAACAAAAAAAAATTGTAGGCTTGTGTAATACTCTGATTGCTAATTAGCTAATATAATACTCTGATTGCTATTGAAAATAAAAAAATATGAACTACTTAGAATGATGACACCCCGGTACGTGAGCAATAAAACTTTGCATAATGATCTGAAGGTACATATTAAAGACTTTATAAAAACAATATCCACTAATCATAATCACAAATTAGAAAATCACCCTAAATCATTCCGCAGCTTCTTACGTCAGAATTAAGAAGGCTCAAATAATTGACTTGATCCAATAAATTGTATCTAATAACGATTACCAACTAGGGTAGCTACTATCTATAATTATATTTAATTGATGTCAATCAAAATAGCTCAAAAAATGTAATTAATGTTCTGATGATTTTATTTCATTATTAACACTTTTAGGGCCAATTCTATTTTATCCAAATTATATTTTCACATATTTCTGAAATGATTTCACAAGATAACTTCAAATCATTTTCATAATAAAAAAATTGCTGCTCACCAATAATATCGAATCACGTTATTAATAGCTTTGATGAAATTAATATATGCGTTATTATATTAGTATTTGATATTGACTACAAATCTGATGCTAGGTTAGCAAATGGCTTGAATATCTATTGAATGGCGAAGCCGATGTATTAAATATGATATAATAACATAAAATACATTGATTAATTATGGATATGCTCACGTTAAATTTGTTGCTATATATATAATCTTTATATTAAAAAGTCAAAAATAAAATTGCATTTACCGTTTTCAAATATCAGTCACAAAATGAAAGTTTTAATTATGTATTCATTCTGAACAATATTTTAAAATTAATTAAAGAAAATAAAAATTATGTTTTTTTTTTTAAAAAAGGTAGTGAAGGATTCAATTCAAATACACAGTTATTGACAAATAACCCATGTCTACGTAAAACTTATAACTCCAAAGAAAGATATGAGTCTTACATAGAATGAAATAAATGAACTAATTATGAAATAATGTAATCATGATTTTATATTAACAAGTAAGCTGAATATGCCATTAACCTAATGAGAAATTTAAAAACAAATATGGTACAAAAATTGCTGCTTTAGTCATGGGAACAAAATGCATGCAAATACATACTACGAGACTTGTTCGGGTGGTTCAATATCACCGACAGCGTCAAAATCGCGCCCGCACGTCAAATACCTTATACCGCGGTAAATTAAACAAACGGATCCGATGTTGTTGTTTGCTGCGTTTATTGGTTTAGCACACACGAGCGTATATAAACGCATACAATAAACGACCATGGATATTGCTTTATGGTTATATAGAATAGTGCACATAAAAGTTCACTTTGAAGATTTTGGTAGCCAGAAAAAAATAAACGAAAGAACAAGCTGTGACCTGTGATGGACATAGTAATATATTACTAATAAATAAAATATATATATAATCTTAGTTTACCAGTATTAGGTAGCATACAGTATCAGTAGCAATTAATTTGTTAATGCTACTTGGAATTGTGTTTCAATTAATATTGCACACCAAATGCTGAACGAGCAACAGGTGTTTCTTGCTGCGCAGACATTGGACAAGAAAGTTAGGATCTTGTAAATTAATTTCATTTATGCAAAGTTCGAGAAATGAGTTACTTAATTAAATTAGGTTGAATTTGCATCAAAACATTGTTCAAGTACGAAATGAAAAATACAGTTACGCATTATGCTATCATCAAACTAATAATACATTAGTTAATTATCAATTATGTTTCAAGTACAAATACTAATATTTTTAGCACTGGATAGGAACAAAAAATAGGAAGCATAATATTTTCTTCGAGTGTTGCAAAACTATTGTTATAATATATTGTTAATAATTTGACTGCAAATTATTTTTTTTTGTTTTAAATTCTTGTTGAGATGTTATTGAATATGATTTGTTTCTATCTTTATTAATACATCGACTGATTAATACAAATGAAACTAGAGTAGAAATATAACTTTTTGATTTATTTAAAACAGTTAAAAATATACCCAAGATCATATAAATAGCTTAGAAAATAAAAGAAATTTCTAACAAGCATCATTTGTAGTAATGTATACAGTCATAAATACGGCGATAAAAATCAAGTAAATTATAAATAAAGTTATAATATATGAGTGTTAAAGTTTAATATGTTTATAGGTTTGGCTGTCAGCCAACAAAAAATAATTTTCACCAACCGTGCATGATTTTAATATTCTGGATATAATTATTAATCTAAATATAGCTCTGAACTGTCTGCAGCATATAAAAAGCTTTGACATATACAAGCCTACGTAATATGAAATAAATACCAATGTTATGTCGCAAACGGAGTAAATATGACAAATAAGTATCCAGCATTTGTCGGAGACATCTTCGCATTCAAATACAGTCAATAAATATATAAAATCGTTTTTAACAAGGTACTAGAAATATATTTAATAAATATGACATGTTTTCGACATACCAAAAGTCAATCGACGGATTAATTATAAGCCTTTGATAGCAATCGTTTGAAGCTAAATGATGAAAATGGGAAAATTGAAATATTAAAAGCTATTGATAAAAGATTTGCGACAAAATATAACATATAACCAGACTAAAGAGCTTTTAGTACATAGACTTGTGTATATATAAAAATAATTTAATTTAATGTAGAGTTAGCAAACTTGAAGCTTATTTCCAGTATTGCAGGTGGTTCCCAGGGAAATTATACAGTATTATACTTTAATCCTGCATCTGTAGGGTAAATGTATAATAAGTGGTAAATTAAGTCTGTCTCATAGCAATGGAGACTCTTTTGCTCTAAGGAAAGATCTTTAGATAAACGACATCTTAGTTTTTGTCCGTACTTTCACGAATTACAAAAGTTACCTACTACCCTTTCATTCAGTGGATAAATTGAACACGGGTGCAAAATGTAATGATAAAAATGATAATACTTCTACAGCAATTTATTCTGTTTATATATCAAGTATACGTTGGATGTAATATTTTTATCAGATTTTCATTTTGTCATTTATTTGTTAAAAAAAGGCTTTTGAGTTTCTGTCGCCCGCAATGTGTAATATAACAGACGCACTGATAAACTTTTCTCTCAGGAAAATTTGTAATTGCAATCACAATATTTTTTGAACAAAATCGTGGAAAATGATGTCATGCAATTGACTTATAATAAGCATAAAAGTAGATTTTGTAATGTTTTATTCTTATCGACTATCGCAAATACTGTTTTCAAAAAAGTATTGTACATTGAATATTTTATTCTCTTCACCGCACTTTTAAAAGTAATGTTAATAATATTGCCATATTTTTTAAAGTTTACCATAAGCTATTTTTAATGAGAGTAATTTTAGACAATCATTCTTGTCTATGAGCCATAAATTATGAAACGATTCTAAATGTTATTCCTGCCATAAATATTCAAAGGATCAAAGATAGAAAAAATATACACAGGCCTACAATTTTTTTTTATTTGGTGCATCAAATTTTAGAGCTGATTCTTATAGTATTTTTTGCGCTGTTTTCAAATGCAAATCATTTTTTTGTATCAGCTCTGGTTTGGAACTTGGAAAAAAGTTGCCGAAACCAGGTCCATTCTAGGTCGTCACGGAAAAGTGTCAACTAATGTCCCAACTAAGGCCGAATGGGTCTTGTAAGTTTGTATGTACGAGTATGCATATCTCATTAAAATAACATTCTGAATTGTATTACTATTTTGTACTTTCATTCCTTATATATCATATCTTGAAAACTAAAGCTCATAGAAAAACACCAATGTCATTTTTGAAATCAGTGCCCCAAATATACTTAAAAACAGCATTAAAATCGTTCGCACCATTTTCTTTGTTGGCCTGTATTATCTATCTAAAATGTTTGTCCTATATAAGAATTCTCGCATATTTCTGCTCTTTTGTGTAAATTTTTTGTTAGCAAAATTTATTTGCTAAACTTTTCTATGTTATTTGAATAGTTTCCTCTGTTACTAAAAGCTTGACCATACCTCCAAAGTTTCCCGTCTTCCTCCCATTCTTTGGGCGGCAATATTGAGTTGAGTATTTCTTCGGTTTCGCGTTTCTCGGCATTCTCAGCGATGCATTTGTCGGTCTTCATGGATGATTTCCTTTCGGAAGTCTTCACCAAAAACGGGGTGTCGTATTTGACCAGCGTCGAGGTCGATGGCATTGTTCGCTCGGCCATGGCGATGGTTTATTCTGGAAAAGATAATATAATCATCATAATTTTTTTTAAAACTACTATTATTCACGTAAGTTACATTATCGAAAAAAAAAAATGATTATATTTGCATATCTTTACATTCCAAGATGTTCTGCACATCTTGACTCAACTTAGAAAATATTTATGTATGGTTATATGTGTATGTATATGTATGTATGTATGTGTAAATACAAATTTTCGTCAACGATTTCAACTGTACGGATTTGAATTATTAAAATAACATTCAACCCCCTTTGATGAGGATTCTAAAAACGTTCTGATCGTAAAAATATATGTAATTTATTTTTTGGGAAGTCGGAAATAACAATATAAAATTTACCTATATAACGTTTGTTTCAATTATTTTATGGTCAACAAAAGAACTGATGAAGTAAATCATATCGTCTATGAATATATTTTATAATAAGCAAATGTTTGTAGAATATCACGCAATATACATATTAATTCGATTTTATTACAATGTTCTACCTTGAAACATTAACTTAACAGACAGTGCTTTAAATTGAATTTCCTTCGACAAAGAAATATCGGTTTCGATATTACCTTTGTCTTATTACTAGACGAACATCGTTACGCTGATAATGTTACGATTGCAGACGTGATTCCATTTCGAATGCAAATACTCACTCAATTATGGTTACAAATTCAAGTTTCGTGGAAGAATAATTTCGAATCAGAAACAAAGGCAAAAATATTCGGTCAAAGGCCATTCTAAAAATAAAAAATAACCGTATAGCTCTTATCGGTAAGGTCATCGGTGTTTACATTATATTTTGATTATAATGAATTAGGTTTTAGTAATAGGAGACTTTTGTACATTTGTTTTATCAAATATCTGTAAACCTACAATTTCACTGATTGTTAGATACATTTTAATTCTTAGAACTGTATCATTAGAGGAAAAAATTGTAATAAAAATTATATAAAATTGTAAACCGATATACATTTTTTAATTATTTCATCTATAATTTTATTGTGATATATTTAAACACTCTGCAAACATAATGTGCACTATTGTGCAAACTGCACCATATCGGGGAGCCATTTTGTAAATATTTTGCTTATTTATAAAATGATATATTATCGATTTGATTAAATTGTTCAAATATTGGAACATAAATAATCCTTTTTATTCTCATAATTTTAAGCTTTATATAATCCTCATTTTCAAGATTTCACATAATTTTACTTCTCCACGTTAGTAAACATGGCATATACAGTAATGGAATTTCTTGCTACATTAAAATCATTCAAATAAAAATTCTAATAATGTACTATAGAAATATTCATTGAGCACCAATTTAATTTAAATATCAATTTTAAAAATTTTGCACTATAACACTTCTTTATATGAAGGCATGAAAGGTATGATTCTAATATTTAATTTATCTTAATTTTCTCTCAATTATAGCAATTTGCTATATGCATACACTTATTTATTCACTATATATATATATATATATATATATATACATAATTAATTTTTTCGAATTCACAGAAATGTAATTAACATAAAAGGTTTTTATTTGTATTCAGAAGTTGTCTATCTGTCATAATGTCAGCTCGGCGTTCCATACCATTCGCGACTTATGAATTTCACAATTACAATTATACTAATTAAACAAAAGGCACTGAATCAATACTTCACAATAAAATATGCCAGCTTTAGTGAAATGCTACAAATAAAATGGCCCATTATTTATGCTGAATGCCCTAGTCGTTCACAAACAATTCGAAGCATGTGCATTGGAACAATAACGTTTTGCAAAATAACAGACGTTTCTATTGTTTTATGTTTTGTATTTCTGCTTATTTGGAATCGTTTTGTTCTTTGCTGTTGTATAGTAGTACTTGAATCATTTTGCGATGATAGCTTTTATAAATACCGAGAACAAAGTGATTCTATATTTACATATATAAACCATTATTTCTAAACTTTTCTTGTCATTGATACTATTTTGTTACATACTTCAATATTATTTTGGTAAGAGAAACAACATGCCCAGATCTTGATGACAAATCTCAAAAGCTATGCTTAGCTCGATTATAAAATCATTAGAAATTATTCAAACTATAAAAAGTTTACAAAACATAATATCTTTATTCAAAAAATGCAACAATATTTTGTTATATGTACTAAAATTATAGAATTCAAGCAATGTTTCCTAATATAAAACAAATATATATATATATATATATATATATATATATATAAATGCTTGCAAGATGAGCATTATTTGTGTTTGTCAATAAGCCTTGTATTACTCTAGAGATTTTGCTGATCACACATATTAACATATTAATTAATGTTCACACACGTTTGCTAGTTAAAATGCATACCATGTATTTGGGAACTTTGATTAACAAACGTCCATAGATATTACTATGGTAAAAGTATATAATTGTATATGAAATTTAATCATTAACATCAGTTTTAGATATTTAGTTGAAAAAGTATTATGAATGAATATAAATTTTCTACAAATCGTGAGGAGCTATACAATATATGTTAACATTGAAAATTTATATGTGTATTTCATCACAATAAATTATTCATACTGAACTGGAAATAAACAGAATGTAAAAAATCAATAGAATCTATTTGGTATGGAAATAAGTGCTCTATATTTACTTCCAATTATTTAAATTTAAAAGTGATACGATTATATACAACATACATATTTTATAACACTTTGATTAACATTAAAATGTTTAATTTTTTTCTATGTATATTGTATAAATTACCTGATCACATTATAATAAACTATTTATAAGATGTTTTACATAATTATATTAAGTAAATTTATTCTCAAAATATTTTTATGCAAATTATAACCTCAATTATATATCAAAACCATGTATCTAGAAAGGGCCAGTAATTATGCATTCATTAATGTGTTTGCATTTTAAATATAAAATATTCCATCAAAACATAAATGCTCTATATTTATAATATATTTGATTACCTAATTAGAGAAATCATAAAATGATGCGAGTTGAGTCTTTATTTAAATGCGCTCATTTATATTAATGCAATAGATTACTTTTCAATAATTCACCATAGTAATTTTTATATTAGGTCAAAGTATAATAATCCTTGATAAATAATGTCATATTTATTTCAATAAATATTAATAATAATAATTACTTAACTTATTAGTTAATCAAATACTACGAAAAAAAATTCCCATAAAATTTAAGTACGTACATGATTTATGATTCACAAGTAACAGAAAAGTTATTCTTATAATATATGATATGCTTAAATTTAATGTGATTTTAAACCCTCACGATAAATGAAAGTTAAGCATATGCAAACATATTCATAAACTTTTATAGAATTTGTTTGTCTGACCAACTGTGAAAACACTTTTGACTTTTGCGAGCGTTTTAGCGAAATGAAAAAGTTTCCAATATGTTCTCAATATTTATTCAAAACAAAACATACGTAGTGCTCGACGATTAAGAGATTAAAGGTTAGATGAATTTGAAGTAAAGCTCGTTCGGTATTTTTCAATTTTAATGTGTTTTGTTTTATTTTTTTAATCACTGAACATATTCATTTTTCCTGGACAATGAATCTTGAAAAATATTTTGGAATACATTTTTTTTTCATGAAATGAATGTTTTATGATGGCGCAAATATATATATTTTGAAATACAAAAGTCGTATATGAAGATTATTTAGAAAATTATTTTTTTTTTTGTATTTTCATTGCAAATCGTGAAAACTTAGGTAGATATCAAGATTTCCGGAACAGGAATAGAATCAGGATCATATAGTTGCAAGATCTAAGCTTTTACCATGGAGCCACGTGGCAAAAGCTTTGTTTAGTTCAAGTTTTGTGTCACATCTTATATAATTTTATTATACGTTATCTTATATAATATCTCAATTCGATCCAGTGATTAACATTTCAGTCTGCAAACCTTAATGGAATAAGCGATGAGTCGTCTGTTTATTAGTGGAGATGAGTTCGTCTGTTGTTTCAGGGTTCTCTAACTAACACCTGCATAATATATTGATTTTAAAGAGATGATGAATTGCCTTTAAGGAGTGAATTTGAAGTGTCTCCTCTCCATCTCATTTATTCTGTGAAAACAATGCGGTCTAGTAGCACAGTCCGACGAAAACCATTAGCATTTGACAATTTTAGAACTCATGACTGTGTAGATTGAGAAATCGATGCAAATGATCGTTTCATAACGGAAAGTTGGATAACATTTACCCAACAATATGGTAATTGAATTAACTATTAAAGTGGAATGCAATTTAATAAATTCATTTAATATTCGAAACACGAAATTTATGACATACACTTCTAAAATTAATTTTACATGCCCACTTACTCATATTCAGATTGCATGAGTTGTTTTTGAAATTTATTGAAAATAATTTATTTGGCAAAATAACGTTTTCTAAATTGGTTGGTATGGTTGGAACCTTAACCATTCACGATAACTTAAAAGCTCATAATTTCCGAACTACGTGAAACAATTTTTTTCTAATTTTTTCTCAAGATAGTTAAGATCAATACTGTCACTCCGTTTTGGCTTGACGTCAAGGTCTGGAACACCCTACATATCTACAAATATATATATATATATATATATATATATATATATATATTATATATTTATATATATATATATATATAAATAAGTCAGGTTTTCCTTCCTGACGATATAACTCCAGAACGATTTCGACAATTTTGCATTCGTTAGAAAAGTCTCGGGTTCCGCAAGATTTATAGCTAAGAAAATTAGTGGTGGTGCATGGCACCGTGCTTTAATGCAAATTGCTGGAACTTGACGTACCGTAATTAAAAATTCGAGTAATGACATTAGTGAGAATTATCAGAATTATGCTTGGTTAAGTCAACGAGCAATGCTTGTCGCCAAGAATAATGATGTACACGCACTGAGTTTCACTCTTCAATCAAAAATTGCTGGCGATTTGG